CACTCGCGGCCAACCGAGAGTGTGGCGTTGTCCATGTAGCTAAGGTCGAGCTTCACTCTTAGATGGCTCCAACCATTGCTCTGCTGCTGGGGGTGACCCTGTGTCGTCCAGTTTACTGATTGATATTGTGATGTATAGTTATAGAATCTTGTTATAGGTGGTTGTGGAGTTGAATTATTGTTGTTGTTGTTGCTATATATACTGCTTTCATTCAAATAATCGTACAATGATGATGTTGCGCTACATGTTGTTTGTGGTTGTGGAGTTGGACCTGTTGTTGTGGATCCTGTTGTGGACGTGGATGTGGATGATGACGATGTGGATGTGGATGTGGATGTGGATGATGTGGGCGATGAAGATGAAGTGGTGGATGTTGTGGATGTTGGAGTTCCAGTCGTTGATGTTGATGTTATATTCGTTGTTGGTGAAGTAGATGTTGTTGATGTTGATGTTGATGTAGAAGATGATGTGGAAGATGATGTGGAAGATGTGGATGATGTTATATTTGTTGTTGGTGTAGTGGATGTTGTTGATGTTGTTGATGTAGTTGATGTAGTTGATGTAGTTGGTCTGGTTGGCGGTGATGATGATGAGTTTGATGTTGACGTTGTATTATCCACAATCAACTCTGATCGATATCTTGCATCGTTTATATTATATATTTGTCTTTTGGAAGGATGTACATTTGTTCTCATCATACCGCCATCTTGGCCAGCTGGTGAAACACCTCCACTACCACTTCCACTAACGCCACCATCACTGTTACTGCCACTGCCACCGCTATCACTTTTACTATTACTATTACTATTGCTGCCAGCAGTTTCGATGGCTTGAATAATATCACTTAGGAATGGCGATGCCATCTCCACATGACGACAACGTGAAGCCATCATCCTATCAATACGCTTAATCTGGTCTGGTGTGTCTGGTTTGTATTTCTCTCCAAGTCTCGCAAGTAATCTCTGATGTCCAAGTCCAATCAAATATCGTACATTGTCGCGAGGTAGTGTGTTTGTTGTTGATGATGATTGTGCAGCATCATGTTCATCATTGGCTATTGCATTTGTAATTGTAATTGGCAATAGAAGTAAAGTAATAATTATAATAAATACAAAATAATAATATATATGTTGTTGTTGTTGTTGTTGTGGACTTTGTCCATCATATATTGACCGTCGTCTCCAGCTCATTGTGATATATATATTAATATATAATTAACAAATCGTTTGTTAGAACTGACAAAGCATCATCATTATATATGTATGTTTGACTATTGCTGTTTGTTGATGTTGTTGTTGCTGTTGTTGATGCTGTTGTTGATGTTCTTGATACAATAGAGAGATAAGTAATAATGAATGAATAAATGGTAATCTATGTGTTTGGTCATGTTAGTCAATAGTTGTGAGCTCATTAATGCAAGGTGGTTCAGTTTGTACAACACTGTTGTTGTTGTTTGACTTGGACAGGTGTGATTGGTGAAAGGTGGTCTTGTTCCCCCTTTTTTGAACAATGCATCCAAGGAGGATGCCGACAACACTAGAATCGTGTAGACCTACCCCCACAACCACAAAACATTACTTCGCAATTCGAGCATCGAAGGGGTCTGTAGTCCTGTTCAAGGTCACCTGCAGGATGACCATCAATCAATCAATCAAACTTCACGTTTAGATGACGGAATGAATCGATCTGTGGGCATCATGCCTAGACCTTTATTATGATCAAAGGTTAAGAGTGTGGAAGTATACATTGTTGTTATAAATACAGTTTACCAAACATACTGCTTGATGGTTATCCACTCGTCTACATTGGACTGTTGTCCGTTTGGTCTCATCATTCCTAGTGTATGATTTGAAATTTACAATGTATGTGTTGACATTGGGCATTGCTGTGAGGACTGATACCATGAAGTTTTCCATGCGATTCGTTACACCACTTTGTTTAAACTTTGGTAAAAAGCAGTTGATTGACAATGTATCGATGTGTGAAGATAGATGTTTCAACTTGGCGCCAAGGTTGACACTTGTTTCATCATGCACTGACAGGTACTCCAGTCTTCTCGGTACATATTGTAGTTGTTTAAATTTTACAAGATGGAGATGTGTAATACCTGGAGGCAACACAGTATTGCTAATCTTATGTTTGTACATGCCACCAAATGTCAGTATCTTTAGGTTTGGTGGCAGTACACCCTCTAACAGAGGAGACTCATGACCATAGTCTAGGCTCAATGAGGTGATTGACTCTGGAAGCACACCGGGCAAGATTGGTTTGTATTTGAGATTCCTAATCGTGGCTGGGTAATAAATAGCAAGTGATCGAAGCGATGGAGGCAATGGACTGTGGTCTTTGTTGAATTCGATGATGTTGGTGTTGCAATTCCAAGGCATGCTCAGTGATGTAAGCTCGGGAGGGAACTTGATTGATTGAGGCCTGTATATTACCAATTGACCCAGATTCAGCGTCCTTATAGAGTCTTGCAATTGACCAGGTTGATCCAAATCACGATTGAAATATGATCCAAACGTCACAGAGGTTAGGCTACCTGAAGATGGAAACGTTCCAACTGGGATGCGAATGTCGTAAAAATCACCAAACACTATCCTAGTCAGAGAGTCTGGTAGTGATCCGGGAGCGAGAGGTTGTTTGAATTGAGAGTACTTCTCCCAAGTCAGTACATTTAGAGATGCTGGCAATGCACCTGGTAGGATGGGATGATTGAAACTATGTCCGAGCTCCAATGATGTCAGTGAATCTTGCAACAAGCCAACCTCCAATGGTTGGTTGAAATAGTATCCAAAACACAATGATGTGAGTGTTGGTGGAAGGATGCCAGGCGTGATTGGAGGATTGGAGAGCTGTGACAATGTCAATGTTTGAAGTGATGATGGGAGATCTCCAGGCATGATGATCTGATCAAACTTTGAACCAAAGTGAAGTGTGGCGATTGACGATGGAAGTATGTTGTTGTTGATTCTTTGATTGAAACTGGCACCAAGGTGGAGGTAGGTGAGCGTGTTGGGAAGGCCACCAACACTGATTGATTGGTCGAATGAGTGACTGAATGACAATGATGTGAGAGAAGATGGGAGTGAACCTGGTGTGAGAGTATCAATGTTGTTGTTATTGTTGTAGTTGCTCAAGATGGAACCATTGACTATGAGATTTGGTGTTATCTGACACATTAGGGTAAAGAACCGTTTTGAAGTAAGTCCAAGATAAAGTACATCCATCTTTCTATCTATGATGTATTTGAATATATCTTTGATTACAAGAGTTGAGAGTGAGTCCATCTTGGTAGCCTCTTTTCTTACAGGTATAATTATTAACTTGTATTTATTGGTATGTTTGTTTTTGGTTTAACCTGCTCACCTTCATCAATCAATCCTACATCTTTGTTTGATTGTTTGTTTGTTAATGAATCACTCAAGTGAGATATTATCTGAAAATACCTTAAATGCAGATCTTGTATTTTTATCTGTATAACAGACCTTTATCCCAAAGCCTGCATTCAGAAGTCTAGTCCTACCAGAGAATGGACGCTGTTTGCGGGCAACGCTGGCGTCAACTTCACCAAGCAGGGCATCTACTCCAAGTTCAAGACTCTCATCAGCTCCCTCCGCGGCAGACTCTCGCTCTTCAAGTCTGAAAGCACCACACTGCGGTCCGCATCGCCCAGGACAAGGTTGCAGCTCTCAAGTCTTACGCCCTCCCCCCTCTGATGTACCACTTCTATCTGGACTGGCGCTGCAGTGTCGTCGGCAAACTGGAGAAGCTTGACCTTCTTGCGGACGGTCGAGACTTTCTTGCCGTCGACTAATGTGTCGAGGGGCGGTGACACCGGCAGGCCCACGATGGATGGGTCGGCGTTGATTGCTGCTGCCAGTGCCTCGATGACCAGGACAAAGAGCGTCGGGGAGAGAGGGTCACCTTGCTTGGTGCCTCTGTCCAGGGGCAGGGCATCAGTGAGGATGCCGTTGACGCTGACTCTGGCCACGGATCCCCGCAGCAGGGCCATGACGAGCCCGACCATCAATGGTGGGATGCCGACGTGGCGGAGGGTGCGCTCGATGCTGTCATGTGATATGGAGTCGAACGCCTTC